GACAGCTGTGCCTTAGATTTGAGTTGATCTCCTATTATTGGCCTCTAAGTCTCTTAGTACTTTTCTTCATCTCTAGTTATGTGCATATGCTTCTGTAGGAAAGAAGTTCAGCACGTCGGTAAACAGCTGTGGGCTTAATGCCATCCTGCATTTTGTTGGTTATTTTACTCTCACTTATTTTGTATTTATTTGGTTGCTCATTGAACATCCTAAATATAGTGTGGGGGGGGGGTGGAGTCCAGCTGGGTCCACTCGGTACGGCGGCCACTGATTGGCCTATTGTAGCCTGCCCCGGGTGATTATGATAATGGAGAATTTGGTGGCAGGAGAAACCGAAGTACTCGGAAAAGAACCCGCCCCAGCGCAACTTTTTCCACCACAAATCCCACTTGACCAGACCCCGGGATCGAACCCGGGCCGCCGAGGTGGGAAGCCAGCGACTAATCGCGTGAGCTTGAGCGCGGCCTTCATCTCAAAGGTAAGTTGTAGAATAAGCACAGGCGCATGAAATGAACTTGTAATGACGGCCTTGTAACTGTTCTCCTTCCGTCACTTCACACGTTTCGGCTCCGAAGCCATTTAATAGAATTTCATTACAAAGAGGCGTAAACTGAGCATTGTTTTTTGTCTTGGTCCGCTACAACTCATGTTACAAACAGAGCTGAAAACAAAATATATATCTCTTATTAAAGCTGGGTTCAACATATAGAAAAGTTGAAAGATGGTCTATGTCTCTCTACATTCTATAACTATTATTTGAAACAATTTTCCCTGACATGAGTGCTCATCGATATATAAGAAAATTATGTAGTGTCACTAGTAGCTATTGGTTAGTTCGTCAGCAGTATAAACTATGCACTATGCAGTGCAATGCTTGCATCACTACTGATGACCTCATTAACAAACACATTATAATATTGTGGCATATCTACTGAAAGCCAGAATCGTGAAATCAGTAGAGAAACTGTTGGTAGGGAACGGCTCTGCAAACACCCCATTGCTTGGCAGTGGCTCGATAGCCGTCAGGTGATGGCAGCAGTAGACACACGTAACAACAGAAGAGCTATTGGAACTAGTTTTCCTTGCGGGCCGTGCCGAGGGTGTGTAACGAGAACCAGCTGTCATAACTAGTCAGTCGAGAGAGAGTCTTGAGACGGCAGTTAAGAGGAGTAGGAGTTTTTGTGAGCCCGGGAACAGATGAACGTCCACTGTTGGGAGACGTTACCAAGCAGAGCAGTGAAGACCGTGATTGGGAACACTAGTCTTTGTGTGACAGTGATTTGTAAAGTGTAGTCCCTAGTTGTGTGTTAAAGTGTCCAATAAATTCGATTACCAATCCAGACCCCGCCCACAGTCACTCCATCACGTGACAGTTGGTGTGAGAAATGGGACTGGATTGAAGGTTGCAGTGTGCAATTCCATCATCATACCATGGCAATGGGACAACCAATGCAACACCTGCTGGCTGAAATGAAGGCCCTGCTGAGAGCCGCCACGATGAGATAATTACCAAGCTGGAATCTCTCGCTTCACGAATGGATGCCCACAAACCAAGATTGAAGCTAACCATGAGGGGTTGATGACCGTAATGAAGCCAGTCGAGAAAGAATGGAAGCCGATCAGGAAAATCCAGAATGGGCCGGTCACGGTAGCCGAGCGGTCTAAGGTATGTACTGTCTTCGCTCGCTTAAAAACATCCATGCCACTCAGGGCATGGATGTTTGTGTGCGTTTTTCTGTGTTTGTGTACAGATAGAACCCTTGCGACGAGCTGATCACCCGCCCAAGGAATCCTACCGAATGTGTAAGATCTAGAAAAACCGAAATGAACGGAGAAGTTCATGGAGGTAGGCCTAGGCCCACTGAGGCTGTAGTGCCAAGGGGGAGAAAAAAATCCAGAATGGAGTCCTGTCGTAGTTTAAGGAAGTCCCTAACGAAGAAGCAGCAGTGGATATTATCGGAGCACTGGAGGACCGACATGAGGACCGGCGTCTGGCTGTAAGATGCCGCGGACGGCCGATGAAACGGACCCGGAGCGATAGTGGGTCCCGTCAGAAGTTGGCTGCTGCCAAAACTTATTTGTATGGACATTAGTGCAAGGAGAGTGAGATGCATGACAGCAATCCTGGAGACAAGAAATGCATACAAAATTTCAGTAAGAAACCATGAAATAAAGAGACTGCTTTGGAGTCCAGGTCAAATAAGTGAAAATAATATTAAAATGAATCATAAAGTAAAATGGCGCGTGAGTATAGGCTGGATAAAAATAAGCAAGGACTTTGGGTTGTGGCGGGGTATTGTAAACACGACAATAGCCTTCGGATTCTACAAAAGCCGGAAAATAATTTGACTGAACGACTGTCAGCTTCTTACAGTAAACTCTGTTCTGGGGAGCTCAGTTATCTGCAGAAACTGAACAAGACAGATGGGTGTGCAACGTCGCAAAATGTTCCCACATATAGTCCAAATTTCTACCCCTGTACTTAACACTGAATTAATTGAATAATTAATTGCCGGCTCTTCTTTGCAATTCAGAATGAGTTTACCTACCCCTGGGTACAGTTCCACCCTCCCTCGCTCTCACCCTATCCTCTTAACGTTTTTAATCAGTCTACAAGTCCTCCTCTTCTTTGCAGCACTGACACCATCCAGTTTCACGTAGGCGACTAATTTCACACAACGAAGTTTTCACAACACCCTGCTCCTTCTGTTGCTGCAGCTAATTGCTACGCCCCTGAGACACTATTAAAGCAACATGGTCTTCTGAGACAATTTATTTTTAGGAAACTGCTCTTAATTTCTTCTCTTTTTTTGAACTCAAGTTCTTCCCTCTTTATCTTCCTACGTTGCCATCTTCCTTCGCTCTTGTCTTCATGTAACTCCTGCTACTCCTCTCTTCCGCCCAGTGTCCTATCTACAACGCAAATTCTACTTATGTCTACTTTGTTTGAAACCAAATTCTTACAAGGAGAACTTGCAGTATAGAAAGAGCACTCTTTCTTACAGGCACTGTGTTATCATTACGGCCCACGTTTATGACAAACATTCTTGTAGGAAAGGATTCACCCACCCGAGGTTTAACCCACTCTCTGACAACACTTGTAACAATTGTCCATTTAGTAGCTAGGTTTCACATCATCGTGTCTGTTACGGAAGAACTGAAAAATATTCGAAGGAGGTGAAGTGTAATCCAGTTAAAGACGTTATTGTATGTATGCTCATGATAATTTCGACGTTTAATATGAGAATTTGTCATTACGTACATAATGTTCTTAATAAAGTAAGAGACAATTGAAAGATTTTAATGCTGTACTTCTTATAGTACAACTCTTGTAAAGTTTGTAGGTATAGCCTTGTTTTGTTTCTAAGGAACCACTCACTTTTGAGGGGACGCTGAAAGAGGCGGAGTTGCCCCATACCCAAATAAACGAAGCGCAGAAGGCTAAAAAAGTTTTTAAATTAAGGCACAATATGATAGTATTCATTGAACATGTTAGGGCCTGAAGGTGCAGAATTCCTTCCTCAGGGATTACACACTTCCTTTTTGGAATCTTACAAAATATTCGGCATATTTTTCCGTCTTCTGACTTAATTTCATATATTTATATTTTATGCATAATTGTAATTTCTAACAAAGTTCTGTATTAAAATAATCATATTACGGGAATTCCATCTTGGTGCATTTAACTGCATGTCTTCAGTATAAACATGATGGTAAGTTCGTGTCAGCGCGGTGGATTAATATTGGTAGCAATCATTTTGAATTTTGTATTACAAAAACATGTGAAACTTACGCAAATCCCCTTCATGTAAACTTGAATAAAGCTGATAGTAACAATGACATAAAACAATCTGTGATTTTAGTCCGCAAGCGAACTATGCCGACCGAGGGATCGAAGCTTCTCGGCGAAGTCAATACCAAATTTAGCGGATAGAGAGTGTCGCGTGGTCAGCTCAACGAATCCCCACGGCCGTTAATTTCGGTTTTCTAGACCGGACTATGACATCCACCATGCGATATATATATTTACGTTAATAGTAGTTGTGTGAATAGTTGTAAGGTAAAGTAATAATATAAATTCTTCCTACGGTATGAGGTTGAGAATTTTAATTGTGACATGACTCCATGACTCGCAATTCTGATGACAGTTATTTGTCTATGTCGTTTTGAGGTGACGATTGCCTGAGGTAGCATTTGAGGTTATGGTGATGGTATTAGAAGTGATGATTTATGGTTGCGATAATTATGTCGATGGAGATAATTTGCTGTTGTGATAGTGATGATGGTGGTGGTGGTGGTGGTGGTGCTGTGGTTGTGAACACTGTCGTTGCGGTGCTGACGCTTTTTCTGCTGGTGATTTTGCAATGTCTTCGGTGATATTTGTAAAAATTTTTATATTGGAGGTTCGGTGCAAATTGCCGTGTTTTGAGGGGAAAGAATGGTAATGGTGATGGTGAATTTGATAGTTCTGGGGTTGTTTACTATAGTTCTGTTGAGGCGGTAATAATGATGATAATTTATACTACTACTACTACTACTACTACTACTACTACTACTTTTTTTTTCGTTGGCACCACAGCCCCATTGGACCTAGGCCTACCTGCATGAACTTCTCCGTTTCACTTCGGTTTTTCTAGATCTTACACATTCGGTAGGACTCCTTGGGCGGGTGATCAGCTCGTCACAAGGCCTCTACCTGTACACAAACACAGAAAACGCACACACCCAAACTAAACATCCATGCCCTACGTGGGATTCGAACCCACGATCCCGGTTTCCAAGCGAGCGAAAACAGTACATGCCTTAGACCGCTCGGCTACCGTGACCGGCACTACTACTACTACTACTACTACTACTACTACTAATAATAATAATAATAATAATAATATAACTGGAAATTTGTGATCATTATTTATAGTAACTGTGACAAGCGTAGAAAATTTGCTTCGATAAATTCGTAATGAGAGAATAAGTGGAACCTCTGAGAAACGTTTTCTTACCTGAAATCTTCTCATATCCCGAGGGTTCCCTGCGTTTTTGAGACAATTCTGATTGCACTTGAGGAAGAACTTCAGGAAGAACCTTTGAAAGAAAAATTATGCATTAGTCAACTCTTTGTTTTCACTTTATTAAATAAGTTCTTTTATATAAATTACATGTTAATCAAATACTTCAGAAGTACGCTTTGCACGGAATCTTCATCAGTGATACTAACTCCGTGCTAACTCTATTCTATGACCTGTAGAAAGTTATTTAGCTGAATAAGGCTCTTAATTATTTGCAAGAATAAATAAGGATTTCATGAAGTGAAACATAATATTGTAACTTGTATAGATAGACAACGGCGAAATAAACAATTCCTCGCGTAAGCGCATTCAACAATAGGGCGAATGTTTATAGCTCGTTGTTAGTCAACAATCAGCGCGCCAATGGACAAGGGGGGTAGCTGTCACGTTACTGGCTTCCTATGGGGTCCGTGCCGCGACTTTTGCTATACAGTGGTTCGGTAAACACATTTCAACAATAGAGGTTGTGTTTTCTGCGTGGTCTGTGCGGAGGATATATAACGACAGCTACAGAGGAGTCGAATATCTTCACCGTGACTCTGCGAGTCGTAGGAGGCAACAAAAATGGAAGTCTCAAATCTGAGACAGTAGAATATGGTCGCGAGTTCCAAGGGACTCGGAGCCAAGAAAAACTGCGCTGGCGAGGGCCAGCAGCATATACAAAAGATAGACCCGTCCACTCGTCAGAGAGAGCACCCCATAAAAACGAGACTGTAACTGTCAAACATTAATAAATATTTGGTCATGGGCCCCAGATGGGGCTAGACTTACTGACTGACGTTGTGATTCACAATGTGACTTTGACTTTGACAGGTTTCAGTATTAAGTGACTGTGTCAGAGTGTGTAGAGTCCAGGAGAGCTCAACGCAATTGAGAGACTAGTGCAGAGCGCTTATAAGAGAAGTGAATAGAAGACCTGATGTATGTGTTATAATTACAGTAATCTTGAAAGTGTTACAATTATTTGTAGTTACAACTAATGAAGATCCAACAAACCAACTCACTAATCCAAACCCGCGTCTTAATCACCCATACATGTGACAATATTTTACAGACATTATATATGTTACATTTACTCCCTGTTTGTGCGAAATACGTGTATCTGGAATGTTTCTCAGATTTAGATTACAAGTTTTTACACAAACTGAAGGTCGCAAGTATTCATATCTTCAAAACATATTTCCGTAAGATTTGATTTCAGCATTGCTTTCTTAGACATGCTCGTATCTCTGTATTAAGCTTTTCCACTCGCTTTCTCGGCGAAATCTCTGTTTGCGTTCTTGAATTCTTCACCAGAATGCAGGACACAATCATAACATAAAAACAGATAATAAATCCAAAAATGTGCAAAGCTCAGCATTTTGGAAGAAGAGAAGCAAATCAAATTTGCATTTACGAAATTAAGAGCAGATTGAATTCCGGAAGTGATTGCTGGCGGTGTCTAGCAGCAACTTAATGAACCTAGCAATAAGTAGGACATCTGTTGCCGCCCCGTCTAATATCTTCAAACGTAAGAATAAAATGTGCAAAGTTATTATTTTAACTTTCTTTTATATCGGCATGTAGACAATGTCTCCTTGAAGTGAGAATATAGTTTGGCGGCCTTTAATAGCAAATGCCGAGGAAAATGTGTGTCCCTAAGTTGTGAGAAATGATCAAGAGCCATTGTGGTGAGTTGTTACTAAGTAAAGGTTAGTGAAAATAGACTGAAAAGACTTAGTGTTGAATGATTTGTGGCGTGAAAATCAGCACAGTGTAATAATTATTTGTAGTTACGACTTGCAAGTGGTCAGTAAAACTATTCAACAATTCAAACCATGTCTGTAATCACTAATACACGTGACAGTATTGTCAATTCGGGATTCATCATCTGTACTCAAACTATGGAGCAGCGTAGTCGTTCGGCTATACAAAGACTACTTTTTGAACTGGCTTGACAACAGAGAAGTCGAGTTCAATTCCCGGTATTGGCAAGAGTTTTTTTCTCTAAAGAGTTCAGACAAGCTCTTAGGGCCCACACAACTTCAGTTGGCACCGGGGATAATGCTGCTGGTGTGTGAAGCTGATCACTCATCTCGATCCATTACCGGGATTAAGAAAGTTGGAACTACAACTCCACTGCTCCATACGTCTTCAATGCATGGTGCGTAATTAATGATACATAGAAATAAATTTACATTTGCTCTACACGAATATCCACGTTCATATCTACAAAAGATCGCCATGGGATTCTTGAGTGTGGTCCACACCATTGTGCCTAGCTCTTTCAGATCTGTTTTAATATTATCCCCCAATACTTGCCTTAGTATTAAAATGGTTTATTGAATCTAGTCTACGCTATTATACTGCAATTCTTTGGTATCTGTTTTAATATTATCCTCCAATCTACATTTTAGTCTTTAAGTGGTTTCTTTCTTCGAATCTTTCCGACTAAAATGTATTTATTTATTTTATAGGCTTTTGTCAAAATGGACTTGAAAATTCTTCAGCGTCTGTTCCGTGGCAAGGTTAAGTTTCAAAAAACTGAGTGCTCAGGGAATGACCTACAAAACAACTGTTTTTTTCTCTCCGTGTTACATAAGAATTTGTATCTTGTAGCAAGCCGCAGTAGGTGACAGCTAAAGAATGTGTATAGTAGGATACAGCACCTTACTCTGCAGGAGTTAACGTCCCAATTACCATGTGACCCGTCCACCAGTAGTGCCAGCTCGTCCCCTCCACAACAGCCGAGCTAAATAAATAATCTATGAGGCAGACTGGATAGGGTTCCTATCCTCTGTTGCGTTCGTCTCCCTGGGGAACGCATGTAGCTGTAGGGCTCTCTGTAGAGCGTTGAGAAGAATTCGACTGATTGGTAGAAAAATTACAATTGCATAAATAGCAATCTGCCTCCACCACAATCCTTCTCTTCCTCAGTGTTGTGTTGGCAACGTCTCGTATCTAAACGTTATCTTCTTACGTGGCAATTATACTCGTAATACTGTGACATGACGCCTGAAAGCCGTAACAATGGAGCAAGAGCCAGACATCCGTTGATGAGCAACAACTAAGTAAACACTAATTTTCCGTTAAAACAGTTAGCTGAAACACGTTTCCGCGGCTACGAATACGCTGGTATAAATCAAAGCGTTGCCCGAAGGTTGTCTCAAGTTTTCATATCAATGGATGAAACAGAATAACCGAGAAAAATCAACTGTTCTACTTCGTGATCTATATTCGGTCCATATGAAATTAGTTCAGTCCGAGATCTAGAGATCCAAATTTGAAAAGACTAGAAAACAGTCCGAGATCCAAAAGAAATACAGTAAGGAATTTGTTATCCAGAAGGATTTTAATGCGTGAACTGTTATGAGCAACTCTAGTTGTAACAGAGACGTCCAATAAATCCAATCATCAAATCTGGAACCCACAATTATTCGTCACGCCTGCTCCTTATACGTGATAATATTAAAACGCCCTAACAAAATGGTTTGTTTCTTTAAGTATTTTCCGGTCGTTCTCTTCCAATGCAAGAGCGGAACTTTCCTCCAGTTGGCTTAAATATTTAACAAGTGAGATTGCTGAGATGTGATCCAGTTTGTTTTAGAGTTTTCAGATGTTTTTTGTCATTTTACATGCACCATCAGTGTTAATATTAATCTGTTTCAGATAAAAACTTAGCATTAGAGATACTACAGTAAACATTATCACAAATTTTACAGTTGTCAGAGCAATTTAACCTACTAGGTATAGCAATTAATCCGGCTTACTGGGGATGTCATCTGTATGTTTCAATATGTTTCATTTTCCAAACTATGGATAGATTTATACCAAATTTAGTTTCAAATTCTGCGCCGAATTTAAGAGGATCGACAGAAAAAAAAAGCAGTCGTTAGAGCGAAGAGCTGCGGACTGAACATCCCAGGAATAGGGGTTCGATTCGCGGAAGAAGCAGAATGTTTTTCTTTCTTTTTCTTTTTTCAAAGCGTCCAGACCGGCTCCGAAACCCACCCAGCGTCCTACCTGGTGGGTATCGCGCTCTCATTCTTTGGGAATAAAGAGACCGGGGCTTGAAGCCGATCGATCACCTCCACCTAGTGCCGTGGTTAAAAATGATGGAGCTGTAATTCCAATCCTTCGTAAGTTTTCATGGCTAGATGTTTAATTAATTAATTGCATGAACAATTTTACCTTTGCTAAATGTAAGATAATTTTGTTTCTAACTTCCTCTTTACTCTTACTTCGGATATGAAACTGAGATCAGAGTATCTCATATGCCATGGAAATTGATTATCAATAAAGAAAATACTATTTCCCTTAAGATATTTGGGTTTCTATATTTAAACATTGTTCACTGTTATGCATTTAAAACGGCGAAAAAAATAAATTGCCGATCATGGTGGCCGCTCCATCTAAGGCATGAACCGTCTTCACTCTCTCGAACGGTGGGATCGTGGTTCGAATCCCACTCAAGGCATGGATGACTGTGTGTGCGTTTATTCTGTGTTTGTGTTTTCTTGTGTGTAGGTAGCGGCCTTGCGACTGGCTGATCCCCCGTCCAAGGAGTCCTACCGACTGTGTAAAGAACATTAAGAAACTGAAGAAGAGGCCAGGGCCCAACAGACCCATTGATAAATGCATAAATGTAGAAACAATATACAATTGTTATACTGCAGTGCATCTGCTACTAATTGCCACTAATTCCATTGCTGAGAGATTGAAACTCTCAAAGAACCATTGTTACTGCATTCTGTGTCCCATACATGTATTGTTCTATTTGATGTTTAATGTCTGTTTGCCGTCACACTCCTCTGTATTTTCCATCAGAACATAAATATCTTTAATTTCCTTATTCTTTGCCTCTTGCTCGCTGCTTCTGCACAAAAGCTCACTTATTTTCTCATGATACATTCATTGTATCGTACTGATGAATAATCCCAAAATTTTTAATGATTTTACAATTTCACGTTGTAAGAGTATACTCCAATGGCTAACGGTACAGATCGGACTGTGTGACTGTTTTTTGTTGTTGTGTTA